CCGAACATGGCCGCCGGGAAAGGGCGTCCGCCTTGGCGTGCTGAGCCCCAGCCCGATGTACCACAGTGAAGTGGAACGCCTGCAGCTCCTCCAGCCACCGTGCTACTTGACCTTCTGGTTCCTTGAACGACATCAGCCACTGTAGTGCGGCGTGATCTGTCCTGATGGTGAAAGGCACGCCACACAGGTAATACTTGAAATGGCGTGCAGCCAAAACAACTGCTAGCAGTTCACGTCTGGTAACACAGTAGCGTCGTTCACTCTTGTTGAAAGTGCGGCTGAAATAGGCCACCACTCGCTCACCTTCTGGCCCCACCTGTGACAACACTGCCCCCATGCCGACATTACTCGCGTCCGTGTCCAGCACAAAAGGCAAGGCTGGATCTGGTGGGGTGAGAACAGGCGCATTCATGAGGGCTCCTTTTAGGCTGGAGAACGCCTCCTGACAATCCGGCAACCATAGGAAGGGTTGGTTGTCTTTAAGGAGGCGGAACAAGGGCGCCCCAATGCAAGAGAATCCCTTCACGAACCGTCTGTAGTACGAGGCCAGCCCCAAGAAGCTTTTCAACTGCTTCTGGTCCCTTGGTACTGGCCAATCTTTGATGGTGCGGACCTTCTCCTCCAGGGTGCTGATGCCCTCACCGTTCACTCGGTGGCCTAGGAACTCCACCTCACGCTGCATAAAGTGGCACTTTTCTGGGTGAAGTTTCAGCCCAGCCGCTGCAATCCTCCCTAGCACCAGTCTCAGAGACTCAATCGCAGCCTGAAAAGACTCACCATGGACGAGAACATCATCCAAATACACCAGGCACCTTTGCCTTGGAATGTTTGAGAGCACTGTGTCCATCAAACGCTCAAATGTTCCTGGTGCATTGCATAGTCCAAAACTCATGACCTTAAATTGCCAGTGTCCTCGGGTGGTGCAGAATGCCGTCTTGGGTCTGGACTCCGTGGTGAGGGGGACTTGCCAGTAGCCACTGCGCAGGTCGAGTGATGAGAACCACGCGGAAACTGAGACCAGATCCAAAGTCTCATCTATCCGGGAGCGGGTGTAGCAGTCCTTCCTTGTCACCTTGTTGAGCGGCCTGTAGTCCACACAGAACCGCGGTCTGGTGCTCTTCTTCCTGGGGACCATGACCACGCCAGACGCCCACGGGCTGTCGGAGGGCTCTATGATCCCTGCCTCGAGCATGGCACGGATCTCCTGATCCGCGGCCTCCTGCCGGGCCAGAGGCAGGCGTCGGGGCCGCACCTTTACTGGTCGCGCGTCACCTGTGTCGATGTGGTGCTCAACCAAGTGAGTGAGGCCCACCTCATTCTCACTGAGGGCAAAGATGTTCTCGAAGTTCCACAGTACCTGCCACAGCTGCTA